CACGCGAAAGTGCGCTGAACCGATTCTCGCGATCTTGCAGAATCCTACGCGTCCGACCCCCTTCGACGGATTCCCGCCCGTCGTCGGACTATTATCGCGTCCCATCGGCTACGTTCGATTCGGCCGTTATGGTCGTTTTCACATAAGTTACACTTTGGGAAAATTTGTTTCTCTCATGCAGGCTCGACGCGTGTGGCGCGCCGGATGATTGGGAACTGGAGCGAAACACTGCTTCTCGCTTCGAAGGTTTCTCCTCAATTTCGGTCGTTTATCTGACGGCTGCCCGCGGCCTGCGATTTTTGCTCGTGTACTCGGCGAACTGCCGTGCGCGCGATCGATTCGGGACGCGTAGATGGTGTTTCACCGATGGGGAAGAGAGAGAGAGAGAGAGAGAGAGAGAGAGAGAGAGAGAGAGAGAGAGAGAGAGAGAGAGAGACAGAGAGGAAAAAAGTCAGACAGTTCGTGTGAAAATTTCTCAACTGCGATCGGCCGAGGCCGATCTCATTTCTTCGTGTGTGACATCGCTTTCGTTAACCTTTAAAAGCTACCCGAGCTGACTTCTTTTGTTATGTTTATAGCGAAGTATATTCGCGAGAATTGATCTGTTTTGTCGCATCTGTTATCACTACTGTGCGACAGTGCGAATAAACACTTATGAAATTACACCCAAAAAGAAAAAATATTCTATTTGTAAAGTGACTTTCCCTGTAGTCTTATATTCTAAGCAAAACTTTCCTACAGAACAAGGATTCCACTTTCGATGAAGCGATTAAACTGAACCATTCATCTAAAATTTATTAGATATTATTCCAAATATTTTCCTCTTATTTCAAGAGAATTTCCTCTTATATCAATTAATTTTCCTCTTACATAAAGAGGAATATGTTGATTTGAATGTCGGCTTTTTTTATTCAGTTATACTCCAAACATATACATGTATAAGGCAATAAGAATAAAATTCTCTAAAATTTACGTGATTCTGCTTATTCCGAAATTATTTTTTTTTTATGTAATCTCGTCAAGGGAGATACGTTAATTTTAATAGAATTTAATAGAACCAAAAATTTGCACGGGGTGAAATGTCATGGCATGGCAGCCTTTGAGGATTAATCACGAACGAATCATCAGCATCATCGAGGATGCCCCTCGACCACGTTTTCCGGGTATCCTGGGGATTGCGACTGATTGCGGAGCCGTGTGTGCGTTTTCCGCGCGCCATAAACCCATTCTTTTGTCTGCCTCGAGAGACAGAGAGACACACACACACACACACACACAGAGAGAGAGAGAGAGAGAGAGAGAGAGAGAGGGAGGCGTATAAATACACGTAACTGCATAGAACGCACATTCCTCCATTGAACTGCGAACAGTCCTTTGAATGCCATTATCCTGCCCACGTTGTTACTACTTAACGTCCCGCAAGTGTGGTTGCGTTAGATAACGAGACCGTCGGCCGTTGTGTTTCCCGATCGGCTTTGCCGGCGACAGCTGCTCGTCGGGTGCGCCGAGGCTGTGTGTCAATTTAAACTTTGACCTACCAGCACCGTTTCGTGCCGCCACCATCTACGCCTCTCCCTTTAACCTTCGCGCGCGCGCGCGTTCGCGCTGCCGCCGCGCCGATTTCGTTCGAATGGGGTTTAATATCTTTCTCATGCGCGGCAGCGCGACGTCGTGTCTGGAAAGAGAGCAAAAGGAGAAAGGGGACGGCGGAGCCGAAGGAAAGAGACGCGAGGGCAGATTATTTTATTAGCTTATCGCGCGCGCATTATTCCGCGTCTCGGCTCTTATTATTCCTGCGAACGTCATTCGCCTGTTTTATCTTATCGACGTGATCGATGAAATGTGCGCGTTACCTCGCTCGTGAAAGGATGCGTGAAAGGATCGCGCGAGGCACGGGTGATTTAATGGAGGCTCAGTCGCAGTCGGATCCCCCCTCCCCGTCCCGCCGCGAGAGGGGGACATCGACTGGATTTAGTCATTTAATTCGGTAATTCCTCGTCAATCTGACTCGGGTATGTCTCTCCCTTGGAAAGTTCCCCGGTTCCCGGAGGCAGATGCTCTTCGACCTTGAGCGATCTGATCGGTCGAGCGCAAAAGTCCAGGTGTCCTTCGCTCGCTGGTCGCTCGCTGCAGCGGTAAGCCCCGCTGATCTTTCGCCGATTCTCCCTTGCGGCGGAAGCGCAGAGATAGAACGGGATTTATTCGCAAAAACTTGCGAATGGGTGAGCGGGATAGGTCACCAGAGCACCTGGGTCGAGTGTCTTTTTTGTGAAAAAAATATCCCGAGTTTCGCGAGAAGTGCCAGGAGATGAGAGCGACGCGACTCGCTGTCCCCCCTGTCATCCCTGTCGGCAGAAACGTAACGCCATTCTGCTCTCTCTTCAGGAAGGGGAGCGAATCGATATCGCCGCCGTTCCCGTCGAGTTTGTGTGTACACACAGCGGAGGGTGCGTTGTGTGCGAGGGTGCGGTGTGGCGGTCCCGCGGGGAATCGCGTCCTTCGCGTCGTCCTCCACAAGGGACGCCCACACGCGACTCTGTGAAGCCGCCGAGAGAACGAGATACACGCCTTCATCTTCCTCCTCCTCACGAGTGTCGTCCGTCCATCTGTCCATCTGTCCGCTCGAACCGGAAGCGGAACCTTTTCTTCCTCTCACCCCCGTGTGGTCACCCTCCTCTCGCCCGACGCCCAGTATGTTTCAGACTCGCTCGCTGCAGCCTGCTGCTTTCCGGCCGTAGTCACCGTAGTAGAGAGCCGTCAAGAGGGCGTGAGCTTCCAGCGGGAGCTTCAAGCAGAGAGGAACGTGAGAGCGGCCAACACGGTGTTTTCGACGATACCGACTTTCCGCACTGGGAAAGGACGTCATCTGCATCCATTTTGAAAGGGGAACTACGTTGCTACATCCACTTTCAAGTTTCGGCGGTAAAACCTGTATGTGGTGGCAGTCCGTGCTACAATCATTTTTAGGCATTGATTTACTCAATGAAAGAGTAAATCACTACCAAAAATCGAATATCGATCAATACCGTAAATCAACGTCAGAAAATTGTCCACGTACAATTACAATTTGTCCTTATTTTTTAAGTACTTACCCCTCTAATTTACTCAACAAATTAACTTGAATAAACGAATGATTCGTATCAATTTTTCTTCTCTTATAAAGAAATGAAAGAATAAATCAGTATCAAAAATTGAAGACCGATCAATATTTAATTGTATGTATACTTTATTGATTCCCCTGGCGGGGTTACAAATTCCAATATAATCTCTTCTCCTTACTTCCTATTACGCTCGCCCCTACCACCTCGCGCGCACACACACACATACACATACACTCCCATCCCCCGCCCCTCCTTAAGTCTACTTTACAAATATCTTACATCTACTCGCTCGCTTATCTCTTATAATTAATTGTTCGCTTATCATCTATTCTTATACATATGTATGTATCTATATTTCTATGCTGCTTTTACTTCTATAATTCTTATTTTCTACCGCCGATTATAGCTTTCCTCCATTCATTCCATTCCTTCACATTCTCTCCCTCGCTCTCTCTCTCTCTCATCCTGTTTTATTCCTCCTCCTCCTCCTCCCTCTCGCCCCCCCCACTTCTCCTCCTCACTCATCCCCTCTCTCCCTCCTCTCTCTCCTAGCAGCCTTTCTATCACCTATTCCCATCCCTCTCCTTCTTCGCCCCACCTCGCGCACGATCAATATTTAATTTATTCATCAAATTAACGCGGATAAATGAACGTTGAACGACTCAATTGTCGTGTGAAATGTTTCGATTTTGACAAATTCATATAAAATTTTTCATTCTTCACTGATTCACAGAAGTCTTTCACTTTTTATTAGTTCACGCTAGGGAAAAGATTCATGATCGCTGCCCCGAGCAGCTGCAACGCTTCTCGAATCATCTATGTCGGCGCGCTTTTACTCCTCAGTCATTTCTGTCATTGATAACTCGATAATTATTGCGAATCTCGCAAAATGATATGGGACTTTTATGTTTGTCTTGACCCAATCTACCCTCACACTTCGGGTTGGCAGCTAATTACCGGACACTTCGTATGATCTTCATCATGATATTAATCATACACAATGTCAATTCTTTCTTTGCACATGTTAACATGTTAATTCATGCTATAAACGCGTAACAATGTGCGAGACCGTGCTTGTCAACGCTATTACTCTATTACGGTTGTAGCACGGACATGAACCGCCTAAAAATGGACGTAGCACGGACTGCCACCACATACAGGTTTTACCGCCGAAACCTGAAAGTGGATGTAACATCGTAGTTCCCCTCTCAAAATGGATGCAGATGACGTCCTTTCTCCCAGTGCGGAAAGTCGGTGTCGTCGAGAACACCGTGTTGGCCGCTCTCACGTTGGCCTCTCTGCTTCAAGTCTGCGCGATTCTGATGACCGACGAGGTTCCAGCGATCCAGCGACCGACCGACTTCCCGGCAAGACAGTATCGTCTTGTTGCTGCTCGGCGCGACGCGGTTGGTTTTACCGGCAACCGATACGTAACGCCAACACACTCCTGCGCAGGGAGTGCGCGCTCGATGAACGATTAGACGTTAGAGTCTCTCTCTCTCTCTTTCGGCTCGAAGAGCCGTTGCTGTTCGTTGCTTCGGGCTGAATCTGCGTTTGCCGCGCACGGTAGGCGGAGGGCGAGCTCTCTCTCTCTCTCTCGCCTTCGATCAGAGCGAGTCTTCAGCATCGCTCGCAGGTCCGACTCGCAGGTACTTGCCTCTTTCGATTGCCTCGCACAGTTCGGTGTCAGTCACCGCATTCATTTATTCGTCAAGTCAAGGGCAACATTTTAGGGCGACTCTTCACAGACCAGAGTGCCGCCGCGCCGTCTCCGCGATCGAGCGCGAGGTGCTCGGCTGATGATGCCAACCGGCCAGTCAGTCGCGCTTTCTCTCTAGTTCAAGCCTGCGCCAGCAGGTAGTCCACGGCGTTACGGCGAACGTCGGCGTTCACGGCAGCGCGTCCTGTGAGGTCAGTCTGCGCCGCGGCGTGTCGGCCTCCAGGAGTGCTTCGATTCGCGACGTGTTGCCGCGACCGGTTTGACAATACGCGAGTGTCTCGTGGCTTCCGAGACACGAGAGCCGTGGCTCGCGATCCTGCAGCTGGCACCTGCAGCGCGTCGCTCGCACTTCCGGATCGCGCGTCCGACCTCTTCTTCCTCCTCTCTCTCTCTCTCTCTCTCTCTCTCTCTCTCTCTCTCTCGTCCTCCTCCGCCGTCATCTTCTCTTCCTCTTCCTCCTCCTCCGCCGCCGCCGCCGCCTCCGCGTTAGCTCTTTCTCATCGCTCCCCTGTTTCTTCTCGTCTCCCTTCCTCTCGCGCGAGCCCTCGCATTTTCGTCGCGCGTCCACCTGGCGCACCGCTCTGGTAAGTATGTCTGGTCGCTCCCATTATTAGAATCGGACCGTATTCGTCGCGGATCGATACTGATTCTCTCTCTCTCTCTCTCTCTCTCTCTCTCTCTCTCTCTCTCTCTCTCTCTCTCTCTCAGTCTCTCGCTCTCTCAGTCGCTCGCTCTCTCCGGAGCGGCGGTCCGGATGCTGTGCGAGATTTTCCGGCACGTGAGCCGTCGCGTGAGAAAATCTCGCGCTCCGTTCCGCCGTCTCGTCTCGTCGCGTCGCGTCGTCTCGCTGCGCGCTTCTTTCGCAGGCGCGCGAAAGCGAGCTCTCGCGCGGCTTCTTCTCTCCACCGTTGTCATTGTCTCGGAATTTTCACGAGGCCGCGGCTGGAGGAGGGATCCTCGAGGAATCGCTCGTCGCGGCCTGCTCGAACGGAGAAATAAATAAAGAAACGCGCGCGGGCTTTCGAATTTCCAGCCGGGCAGCTCCGAAGCAGAGGATGCAACGAGTGTAAAATAAAAAAGTATGCTGTAGTATTCTGCGGCGATGAGAGGCGATCGAGGGACGAGCCGGATATCGGTTTCTTTTCTTTTCTCCTCTTTCCGTGGAAAGTCCGTGGAAAGCGTGCGATTTCGGAGTTGACTGGCCCGGGAGATCTCGAGGCCTCGATACTTCAGCCTCGACCGACGGGTCGTCGGGAGCCTCGTCGCACATCCTGCGTGGCGGCGCCATCGAAACGTGCAATTAGAGACGCGTGCACGTGAGAACGTATCGAACTTTCTATCTGCTTGTCACGTCTGCGCGCGAGCGACGTGGCGGATAAATTAACCCGGAAAGCCCGGGAGAGACTGCGGATTCCGCCGGGACGCAGGAGTCGCGCGCGCGCGCGCGCGCGACTCGCGAGAGCTCGCGTGGCGATTTGGAAAAAAGTAGGTCCCCGCGCGCGAGCGCGATCGCCTTGAGCAACGTCTCGCGCCGTCGTCCCGAGAATTTCAAATGAGGACTCCGCGCGAGTTTCCCGCCCCCTTTCGGGCCTTTCGCGCGGGGCCTTGCGTCGCGTTGCATAAACGCTGCTACGTTTTCCCGTTACGTCCGGTCCGTCGCGTCGCGCGTATCGCGCGGCCGCGCGAAATTATGACAATAAACTGCCGGGCGTTATCGCTTTACAGCCGATCGTGAAACTGACCGCAATCGGCTGCCGCGATGAGGAGGACGTTTATTACGCAAGCGATAACAGCACGGTTTTACACAGCGGGGCTGGTCCGATCGCGCCCGATTGCCCGGCCGTTCGAAAACACGAGTCAATCCCGCCGCGCCCGCGCCGCCGGCCGAGAAATTCGATCTTCGCAATCGGAGATCCTCCGCCCTTTCTCTGCTCCCCCCCCCCTTTCCCCTGCGCGGCAGATTTAAATCTGGAGTGTTTTATCGGAGGAATCTGCGCCGATAAAACGTGCGGCTCTAAGCTGCTTCCCCAGAGATTCGGGATTACGCAGGCGGGGGAGGAGGTGAAAAAGGAGGAAAGAGAGCGACCGCCGAGAGCGGAGGGGGAAGAAGCGAGGGAAATCGGACAATCCGTGCGTATATATCCCGCCGGCGTGCCTGGCGGTTTCGCGCAAGATAGAGGATTTTACGTATCTCCGAGCTCACTGCGCACCGGCGGCGAATTAACGTCCGCCGTGAATTTCTCACGTGTCACCGCGCGCGCGCGCGCCAGCGTACTTTCTAAAGCGCTTTCCGCTTTAGAGAAGAAGAGAAGCAGGAAGCCGCGAGCCGAACGCGCAGCCGAGCAACATCCGAGGAATCCGAGTCGACTTGATCTAATGGCCGGTGGGAGTCGCGATCGCGTGGCTGATCTGCAGCGAATCGTCTGGCAAGAGAGAGAGAGAGTCCGAGAGCGTCTGACGGCTCAGGAAATATCAGGCTGCACAACGCCGCGTCGATGATACGATGAATAACGACGATAAGAAAGAGCGCGAGGTCCCCGTTACAAAATGCTCGCGCGAGCGAGGCGACGTCGTCGCGAGCGCCTCGCGACGAGCGATGCATCGCGATTTTCCCGGGAAGCCTTCGAATGCTTCGCGTCGGCGCGTGTTCGCAGACGCCGCACAAGTGGAGTTTCTCTCCGCACTTTCTAATCGCACAAACGGAAAAAAAAAACGATCGTGTTTTTGTATAATTAAAATTTACCTTTCTACACGAGTCGCCGCGCGGAAGATCGTCGTCGAATAATCTTCGCAACCCGAGTCCCGAAAGTTGCGTGCTCGTCTGACATTCGCGCGTCGGTACAGAGTCATAACGTGTACGGTGTGAAACATGAAATTAATTACTTCATGACTAGTTATTTGATAACGGGCTTTCCAGAGGGAGGGAGGGAGAGAGAGAGAGAGAGAGAGAGAGAGAGAGAGAGAGAGAGAGAGCCGTACTGCGAAGGTGAAACGCGCGAGCGTTACTTCGACACGCGCATACGAATACGAAATCAACGTCTCGTCTAATTTCGAGTGGCGAAGAAGCAGCAGAGGAGAAGAAAAGAGAAGGAAAGAGCAGATTCTTGACTTTTGCAGACTTTTCTCGACGACGCGCTGCAGAGTTATGTGTCGTGTCACAAGAATGAAATACAAACGTTGCAAATTAGATGCTTTTGCATTTCGTGTCACGAAGAAGAGACCGAAGAAAAAGGAAAAGAGGAAGAAGGAGAAGAAGGAGAAGAAGAAGAAGAGACGATGAAGAAGAAGAGCAATGTTTTCTTATAAAGTCTTGATAACGCACTACAGAGTTGCCTTTCGTAACGGCAGCTCGTTATTTCTTATCATCATTATCATCATCCCGGTCGTCGTGCAGCGACATTTTCCGACATGTCGGACGCGATCTCGCGAAAGTGGAGCGCAAGCGTTACGAATTAAATAAATGTCTCATAATGTCGAGTCACAAAGCAGAGGGAGAGAAGAAGTAGCGGCGTTTCACAGATGCCTGACGCGACACGTTACAGAGAAGCCGCCGCGCCACGAAAGTGAAACGCGCGAGCGCCGCTTTGATACGCGCGCGCGCACGACTGAAACAAATGTCCCTCGTAATTCGGAGTCACGCTGATGAAAAACAACAAGAGAGAAAGAAGAGGAAGAAGAAGAAGAAGAAGAAGAAGAAGAAGAAGAAGAAGAAGAAGAAGAAGAAGAGAGGAGAACAGGTCGATTGGAATCTTACGGGGCGTTCGATTTCTCCGGCGTTTGTTTCGCCCGCCAAATTGCAGCATGAACAGCACGAGCACGGTTCATCGAACTTTAAATGTAACCCGATGGGAGGTACACGCATCCGTGGTTCCCAATGCCTCGGCACCGACAATCCGCGATGACACACACAGGTACGCACGTATGTGTGCTGCGGCACACACACACACACATGCAAGCCGCGAGAATTCGCGAATCGATCGCACGCGTATCACATATTCATAGCTCGCTTTCTACATTTTTTACGTTCACCTGCGTGCTTTCTGTTTACGCTTCGCTCGGGATATTTGCAGTTGTATAAGTACACACGACGGTGAATGACGGTGAACGGGATGAATGTTTCAATGCGGCTAATGGCCGGCGTCCCGAAAATATCGACGTTCGCATGATCACACGTCGGCTCGGAAATTCCCGACGGCGAGGCCGTGCGACCGCCAGGAAGTCGCGTCGTCTGCTTCGCGAAGCGGGAAGAAATATCTTCGTGCCCGGGGATTCCGGTTTTTTTCTTGAACTCTGGAAAAAAGAGAAAGCGCGCACGAGCGAGATCTGCCGTTGCGGAGCCAATGAAGAAGCAGCGAGCGACCAAAGAGGAAAAGAAGAAAGAAAGTGGTACAATCGCCGGAAAAGCATTGACAATTGTCGGACAAGCCTTGAATTCGGACGCGACGACGCGACCGTCGTCGGTATCGCAGTCTCCGATCGGACATCGAACGACGGCTAGACGACGATCGTCGCCGGCGCGTCGTCTCTCGTTCTCGGCGAGAGAGATCGCGCGTCGTTCCGACCAGACGGGGCACCAGAAAGCCCCGTGACGCGTTTTGCGTTTTCGATACACGAAACTCTCCAACGAGCCGTCCCATCGCTCCAGCCAGAATCGCTCTGTCCCACGTCCACACGCAGAGAAAGCACCAAACTCTCTCGTCTCTCGTTCCACAGCATCGTTGTGTCGCGCGTTTCGGAGCAAACGCCGCGAATGAGAGAAAAACGGCGTTAGAGTAACGTTACCACCTGAGCAAGGTCGAGAACTGACTGCGTTTATTCGCGATTCCAATCGATCGTAGACAAAGGAGTGAGATTAAGCAGCGCCGACGGTGATGAAATGTAAGTACAATTCGACGTCCGGCTCCGAGTGACGCGTGGAGCGGCGACGCTCCACGACGTCGGCAGTCGCGCACCAGTTGTCGAAGCTCGGGCGCGACGATCAGCGTGTCACCTCTTTCGCTGTCGGAACAGCGAAGAGCCGCGAACGATCTGTCGCCCAGACACACCCCGTAGATCCGACGGTTGCAGAGAATCCACTCGCGGGGAGAGACGCGGGGAGAGTCCCGACGTGCGCTCCGTGTGAGACAGAATCTGAGCTGTGCAGTTTCAGCGTCACCGGTCGCATTTCTCGTTCCCTGGCGAGCGAGGAACGCGCGAACGAGGAGCGCGACAAGACACTGTCCTACGACTACGGAACGTGTGAATGACGATGGGCGCGCGCGCGCGCCTCTGTCTTGAAAAAGTCCCAGGTCGGTCCCAGATCGTTGGTACCAATCGGCCCATTTCTTGTACACACGCGGACACGCGGACCGCGCGAAGAGTCTCTGACTCTTCAGACGACTCATCGGTATCTTCTTCGAAGCGACCACCGCGCGAACACCGACTTCAGAGCGCGCTCGAAGCGCGTTCGCCGAAGGAAACTGTTCTCATCTCGGACAGATCGGTATCGCGCGCGATTCCAAAGCGCCGTAAATCTCTCTCGTTCCTCCGTCGAGGACACCGACGGAAAGGTCACTCGTTCGCCACCCGCGAGCCAGGACACTCG